ACCCACGATGCGGGCTTCCGAGCGATCGAAAACAGTGCATGCCTTAGACCGTTCGGCTACCGTGACCGACAACTAAGCAAATAACCAGACAAGTATCCCGCTAAGTACGGGATTAAAGAATTAACAAAAGGATTTGTCAACTACAATTAAAGTATGAAACAGCCTGTAAATAAGCGACCGTTTAACAGACAACCATATAACTATGCAACGAAGTAACGAAGCAACAACTCAACTTCTAGAGATCTCATATAAACGAACAAGGAGCTCCATGACGGCAGTTTACCAATGACGGAAACAAATCACTGAAAGACCTTAGAATATTTCCACAGTTGGGTACAGAGGTGGCAAGTACAAATGGAGAGGAGAGGAACTTATGTACAGAGGCGACCAAGGTTTCTGCGCCCTACTTCCAGCAATGTCGCGTTTACATTGAAACCAAACTTGGCCATACTTCAGGGTCACACCTCGTGCAATTCTAACCCCAAACCATTTCCACTGGCTTAAATGAAACAAGAAGAAAAGGGATACTGGAAAACATTTTGCAGAAAATTATACGGGAACATTCCCGAAGTATTTGCTTATTAAACAAATGTTACTCCACAACGGTATTTCAAAATTAAAATTTTATCTAAACTTCGTTCTTCAATTGAACCAGTCCTTCTAGCCGCACTATGACACTGGGTACAACTCAGCCACTAACAGAAATCAGTACCAGGAATCTTCCTGTGGTAAAGGGCAGCTGACAACATTACCGCCATCCGTGAACCGATTGTAAAGAAAATGTGAGAGCCTCGAAGTCTCACATCCCTACGGGACTCCACGGCCCATTACAGGGACAGATTTCTTAATCTATATTTATACGGTTTCTTGCTTTTTGTTAATGATAAAAGAACTGACTACGAAATATAAAACATTCTATGAACGGTCCGTACTTCTCGGGCCGGTCTTTGTGTAGCGCGTAATGAGAAGTACTGCAAGAAGTAGCGAAGGAAGGGGCTACTGCTACGCTGTGGGAGAGTAGCATAGTGACGCACTATCTCTCTGTGTATCTGTCTACCTATGGCTCTACAGCCCTTGTGGCCCTTGGCCGCTTCTTCAGTTTCTCAATCTATACACAGTCGGTAGGACTTTTTGGACGTGGCATCAGCCCGTCGTAAGGCCGCTACCTACACACAGAATAAACCATACAGACATCAATGCCTCAAGTGGGATTCGAACCCACTCTCCCAGTGCTCCAGCGGGCGAAAACGGTTCATGTCTTAGACCGTGCGACCACTGTGATCGCCCGGTAACGCACTATACCTAAAGTAAAAGGAACAAACTTATACCTGTGCTTAATTAATTTAGGACCAACCCATTAACTTCGGCACTAGATGGATGTGAGTGGTCAGTCTCACGCTCCTGCCGCAGTGTCCCGAGGAAACAGCCCATCTACCCACTGTATAGGAGGTTGGGCGGGTCCCAGAAGCGGCCTGGACGTTATGAAGAAAAGAAAAATTGCTTGTCCCTACAGGGAGTCAAATGAGGCAAGCTCTTCCTGCCGCCTGCTTCTTGCTTGGCTCAATCTTCGGGATGAGTATGAAGGGAGTACGTTCCTTCAACACGCCTGCGGACCTCTACTCGGCTACACCGCGTTACATCCCAAAATACAGAATTTATCATAGACACGACTGCGAGAATCTCAACTCCAAAATTATGGTTATTAATATTACTTACTTACTTACTTACTCATGGAACTGAGCCCTTCTTGAGGAGCCGCCAATTCTGCAGCTACTCAAGAATTTCCCAGCATTTTATGGAACCCCGAAGGTTCATCACCGTGTTCACAAGAGCCCACCACTGGTCCCTATCCTCAGCCAGATTTATCCAATCCATACCATCCCATCCTATCTCTCTAAGATCCATTCTAATATTGTCCACCCACCTACGCCTTGGTCTTCCCTGTGGTCTCTTTCCTTCTGGCTTTCCCACCAATATCCTATACGCATTCCTCGTCTCCCCCATTCGTGCTACATGACATGCCCACCTCATCCTCCTTGACTTGATCATTCTAATTATACTTGGAGAACTTAGGTCGTTTATCCAAGGAATCAGTCCAGGTCCGAGGCTTTGTGTTCATTTTCGTAACATACTGATTTTTTACGGTGAGGAGTTGTTAGCCCCACGCCCAAACCCCAAACTGGAGGGCCACCCCTTGTCGGCTTTCCGCGAATGCTTACTCAGTATATTCGCAGCTTCCCTCCAAACCTGGAGGGCGTCTCGTCCATCCGCAACCTGAGGACGCGCCATGCCGTGGTGACAGTAATAATATTACTATCAACAAAAATCCTCGGTATTCGCGAATTACGCATGTCTTTCATACCAAATAGCCAGCTATGGAAAGGCAGACCGATCCTGCCTCTTTCGCCTTACCCCTCCTCAACCCCCTCACCAGGAAACGGGACACGGCACCAACTATAGATGCAGCAAAATTATTCCGAACCTCGCTGGCCGTTACAAATACAAACGGCGGTTGGCCAGTCAGCCCAAATACAAGGAGGAATGGGAAGACCGCCAAGCGATAGCGCATACGGAGAGAACCCAATCTTTCTTGTGCCACCCTCCTTCGTAATCCCTTCCCTTCTTCCTGTGACGCGGCTCAAGGTCGGAGATATTCTGCGGAGAGTGAACAAAGCCAAGAACTTACCAAGGAAGATATCATCGTCGTCCACTGTAGCGGGGTTAGCCGTAAGAGCTGCCATCCCTTGGCAGAGGGTGAGCAGGGTGAAGTAAGGGCTGCGAGTACCAAATGCGGGGCTGCTCAGCAGACTCACAGTGCTCAGAGGCGAAGCTCCTATTCGATTCAGGAATTCGCCACACAACATCCCTCGCAGGCAGGTTAAGGGGTGGGGGTGGACAGGTGCTCGTAACTACCACACTACTTGGGTTCACCTGAAACAACCACAACAGCAAGCATATGTAGCAACAAAAGCATATCCTTCTCAGGTTTGTGGTATCCATGCTTACCACTCCTCACATACGTCACACCTTGAGACAAAAGCCCGTTGTTCCTGGTCATTTCTTGGCCGTCTCCATTATATTCACTTATGGCTTCATGGGAAAATTTTTTAAGTGAATCAACCGAACTGAATTCTATGCAACTGAATCCTTCTTTAAAAGCTAACTGTTGCTGAGCCATTCAAGAAAATCCAGAAATGTTATAGAATCCGGAGGTTCATGGTCGTGTTCACAAGAGTTTACCATTGGTCCATAACCTGAACCAAACGACTTCAGTCCACATCCATCCATCCTATTTAAGATCCATTATAATATTATCCTACCTTCTAGACCTACTTTGACCCTGAAGAAAGAGACCCGGTTACCGATTGGCCAGGAAGCTGAGGACACCCAGCACAAACGCAGTGGCGATAGGGAAAAAATGCGGCCGCTGTAGGAAGCCGAATCCCGGGCGCCCGGGGCATGGCCAGTTTATTTTCAGGGGCACGGGGTAGCGTAGTTGGTTCAGGCACTAAGCTACAAGCCGGAAGGTCGCGGGTTCAAGTCCCGATGAGGTCACTGAATTGTTTCAATTTACTTAATCCTTCCAGCCGCACTATAGCCCTGGGGTCGAGTCAGCCTCTAACACAAATGAGTAACAGGAATATTCTTGGGGGTAAAGGGCGGCCGGCGCGTAGAACTGCCAACCTTGCCGCCATCTATGAGCCGATTGTCTAGAAAATGTGAGAACCTCAACATCTCCCAACCATATGGACCTCCACGGCCTGTTACAGGGATACCTTTACTTTTTGTATTTAATATTTTCAGATATACATACAGCAATTAACAGTTTCTGGGTAGTGCTGTCTAAGACACTGTTCTAAGCGTATACAAAGGAGTTACGCGCATTTCGCATCAATGCAACTTCGTACGGTTTCATTGAGTTCCGCGGTTTTGAGTTAAGTACCCACTATTTCTAAGGCAGCTAAGCTATCGCATAAGGGAGAACGCGATAGCGTAGTTGGTTGAGACACTATCCTACAAGGCGGAAGATAAAGGGTTCGATTCCCGATGAATTGGATTTTTATTTGACCTAATCCTTCCAGCAGCACTATGGTCCTGAGGTCGATTCAGCCTCTAACAAAAATGAGTACCAGGAATCTTCCTCGGGGTACAGGGCTGCCGGCGTGTAAGGCTGACAACCTCAGCGCCGTCTGTGAGCAGACTGCCTAGCAAATGTGGGAGCCTCGAAGTCTCACAACCCTATGGGTCTCCATGGCTTCTTACTATCGCATAACTCGAGGGAGAATACAGGAGCTGTGTCTGCCACTGCAGCAAGCAAGAATCTGGATATATGCTATTCGTGGAAGTTAAGCGATCTACTTGAATTCCTGCCGACCATTCCGGCCGTGCGGTCTAAGGCACGAAATGCCTTCTCCCGTTCAAACATTGGGATCGCGGGTTCGAATCCAACTCGAGGCATCATTGTTTGTGGTTTTCTGCGTTTGTATTGTTATTTGTGGGCTTTGTGATAGGCTGATCCCCCGTCCAAGAAATCCCACTGTCTCTTAGATTCATAGTTTTAGATTAATTCTAAATAACAACAGGCTAAAGACCCTAATCCGTCAAGGTAGATGAAAAATATGTTGATCCCTCAACAATAACAGATTCATCAATATTAGGTAATGTGAGGCTTGTCTTATGGAAAAGCAAAGGTAAGGCATTCACAGTGCCCAATTGCGTTCCTTCCTTCTCCTATGGGCTTGAAGAGCAAACGAACTGCTTTTATAGGCCCTGCAATGGAAGTGCTTTCTGTAGCCATGGTCAGAGTTACACTATAACATTACCGTAGTCAGCGATGCATACGCAACCAAATCCCGCGTCAACAAACCCGGATTTGTGGGTGTATCAATATACAGAGGGCGCGCTTCCTTTCCCGTTTGAACCGCATGGCTCTGAATGTAATCTCATCTGAGAAGATCTGAATGGAATATCTATATATATTCACATACAGAAGAAGAGTCACGCAACTAGTTGCTTTCTTTCAGACCACAAAAAGGAGCGAGCAGGAACACAAAAATACGAATAAAAAGGAAAATTTCTTCCGTAACAATCCATTATGAAATTAGACATCTATGATATAGATATCTCTAAATTAGAATATACAAAACTATCATTTTACCTGTGGTTCTGTATGGGTGTGAAACTTGGTCTCTGACATTAAGGGAGGAACACAGACTGAGGGTGTTTGAGAACAGGGTGTTGAGGAGAATATTTGGACCGAAGAGAGATGAAGTGATAGGAGGTTGGAGCAAACTGCATAATGAGGAGCTTCATAACTTGTACTCTTCTCCAAGTATAATTAGAATGATCAAGTCAAGGAGGATGGGGTGGGCAGGGCAAGTAGCACGAATGGGGGAGAAGAAAAATGCACATAGGATATTAGTGGGAAAGTTAGAAGGAAAGAGAGCACTGGGAAGACCAAGTCGTAGGTGGGTGGACAATATTAAAATGGATCTTAAGAGGGAGAGGATGGGATGGTATTGATTGGCTTGATCTGGCTCAGCCAAGGGACCAGTGAATGGCTCTTGTGAACACGGTAATGAACTTTCAGGTTCTATAAAATGCTGGGAAATTCTTGAGTAGCTGCAGATTTGGCGGCTCCTCAAGAAGGGCTCAGCCCCATAAGTAAGTAAGTTAGTAAGTACGTAAGTCAATGGCCACACAACTTTCTGTTAAGTACCTCTAATATCAAATTTAATCAAAATCCGTCTAGCGGTTCTCGAGTTAATACATGCTCACAGACAGAAACGATAAGTTAAGCTTATGATATTCGTGCAAAAAAAAAGTATATGTTTATTTTGTTTAATTAAGTTTATCTGGCGACACTTTCTGTTGCTCAGTCTACAGAGCGTCAAATGGGTGGATGACCAACGAATAATGAATTTGAAATGATTTAGAAGAAAGCGGCAGGGGCCTAATTTGAGGCTTTACCCCGGCATTTTCCCAGAGGGACTAGGTTAAACCATAAAAAAACCCTAAGGATACCCGGTCTCAGGGCTCTCCCGAATACGCACAGAAGCAGAATAATAAATACGCATAGGGAATGGGTTGTAACGCCGTGTTTCTCGGAAAGAGTCCAATATTTCTGAGGTGGCAAGCTGAGCTGAGCTGGTTTCTTGCTTCCCTTACACTTCGACCCTAAACGTGAAGGCGTTATGCTCATAATGCTTGACATCTGCAGCCATACTAGTATGATATATACATGTAATAATAAAAATAAAACCTTCCTTACTCTGGAGCCTGGATAGCACAGTCGGTATGGTGCCTAGTTATGGATTGGACGACCGAGGGGTCGGAATTCGAGTAAGGGGGTAAGGCGGACGGGGCATGAAGCTAACCACTCACCTCCAACTAGTACCGAGTACAAGAAAATGTGGATCTATACATGCACTCCCCCATACGCCTTCATGGCGTAGTGCTTGATTAGTTAAACACAGGGACAATTTTACCAAATTTATTTCGTTACTCTGTATCGAGCCAAATGCTGGGTCAGAGATAAAGTCCCAGACTTAAAGACCGTGAATATTACAATTACCGCCTCTGTGGTCTAGTGGTCAGAGTTCCTGGCTACAAATCCAGAGGGCCGGGGTCGATTTCCAGCGCTACCAGATATTCTGAGAAGTAGTGGGTCTGGAACGGGGTCCACTCAGCCTCGAGAGGATAACTGAGGAGCTATTTCAAGTAAATAGCGACTCCGGTCTAGAAAACTCAAATTAACGGCCGTGGGGATCCGTTGCGCTGACCACGTGACACACTCTATACGCAAAAGTTGGCACTAACTTCGCCGATAAGCGGCGCTCGCTCGGTCCGTATGGATCGCTTGTAGACTAAAACCATGGAGTTTGTTTTGTATTTTAAATACAGGCAGAGCGTTTAATCAGATTTTGTTTATCCAGAAAGAAGCTCTTGTATGTTCTAAAAAAGGGCATATTGCTGCTCGTACATGGCTGTCAGGAGCGCCAAAAATCTGTGCCCCCCATGAGTTACAGTAATAAAACCATTCCTACATCACACTATCTATCCACATGGTTCTACGGCCCTTTGTTGGACCTTGGCCGCTTTTTCAATTTTCTTTATTTTTTCACACATTTGGTAGGACTACTTGGACGGGGAATCAGCCCGTCGCAAGACCACTGTGCACACAGGACAACACAAACACTGAATAAAAGCACGCACACATCCATGCTTCGAGTGGGATTCCAACCCACGACCCCAGTGTTCATGCGGGCGAAGACGGTTCATGACTTAGACCGCGCGGCCTCTGTGACCGGCTCCTCCTACATCAAACTGGGTGCAGACAACAATTCACTGGCAAGACGCAAACTTAACACGACCGAAGAACCTAATTAGCTGTCAACCGGTATAGGGTCAGAGCGCTAAAACCGGAATGTCCCAAATAAACTCCACACAGATGAGAATTACCTACCCTCCCTCCGACAGTAAGGCTGCTGTAAATCCTTTAAGACTCTCTCTGGTTTATACGAGTCGCTGACTAAACCAATACTGACATCCTTCCAACCAGACCACCCAGCCGACAGCTTCCGTTTGTTTCATTGGGACCTTGTTCTTCAGGCACTGCACAAGTCGTACACAGCTCGCGGTCTTACTGGATAATGTGGAGATTCGTAATTTGTACTCTTCATCAAATCATCATAATCTTCTTCTTCTTCTTCCTTGCCGGATAAGCCCTTCTGGCCTGTTCCCACTCAGAATTAATATGCAACTATGGATTTCATACATAATAGATAGACTCCTTGGATGGGTGATCAGCCCCGTCGCAAGACCACTACCTACACAGAATGAACGCACAGATATACATGACTCGAATGGGATCGGTACCCACGATCCCCGTGTTCGAGCGGGTGAAGACGGTTCATGCATTAGACCTCACG